GGAAAATGATTTGGATGGATTTTAATGAAAATATTCAGAAATATGGTATCGTAGTATTTATTCAAGTCAATTAGGATAGAATATTATTGTAATACAACAGTTTTTTAACTGAAAACCAATCGAAAAGCAATTACGGTAACATCTTTTGAACGAAAGAAAGCGAAAGTCATTGTTTTCATCACGATTTTATCCCACTTTCCACTGTAATACGTACGTCATTTCAGCAAAAATATTACATTTCCGTGAATGCATTATATCAAGCTCAGTATGAATAGAATACCATTGTAATATAACAGTATTTTAACCAAAACTATTAAAAAAACGAGTAACTTCTCTTGAACATCGGAAGGTTAGGTAAAATCTTTTGTTTTCGTCATGTATTTTATCCTATTTTACATTAAAATACATAATGTTTCAGCAAAACTTCTATTTATTTCCGAGAATATATTCATTCAGGCGCAGTTTAGGTAAAATATACGTGTAATGTAACAGTTTTTTAACTGAAAACGATTCGAAAAACACGTGTGCCGTCTAGCTGATACTCAACAGCTGGTGGTGCGTCATGCGTCGTTGTAAACAATAGGAGGTTGAAGTAGATTACCGGGTATTATATTAAGTGTGAAATATCAAAAAGGTTTTTATTACCGGTATTTTTTGTAGATCAATGAGAACTGTTATACTGTATATGATATGATAAGTTAGCCTGTGCTAAGAACTTCAACATAGACTACTTAAAACACGTTGTAAGGTAATTTAGCCTATTGTAAGTTGGTGAGCTTCATTTGCTGAAGGAACTGCACAACTTTTCATTACTAATTGGTACATATTTTACATTTCCATTGTTTACTGGCAGTAAATGGTTAATATTTTTCATGTCTGAAGCTAAAAGTTGCATCTCCCTCCCCCCCCAACACTAGTGGTGGAGATGTTACATTTAACCAAAAAGACACTGGTGTTTTATCCCAGCAGTGGGTGGACCAGCATTTTAGCTTAAGGTCCGCGTAGGTAATATTCCTACAAATTTAAAAAAAAAAAAAAAAAAAAAAGTTTGTTCAGATTTTGTCCGAATTATCCGAAATCCGGATTAAAGGGGTCCGAATTAACAAGGGTCGACTGTACATAGGTGTTCTGCATGATTCATCAGTGTAACCATGGTACGTCACTGGTGCAGGCGGATCAGCTGTTCTTTATGATCACTGGTGTGTACACACACACACACGTATAATCACTGGGAGGGTGAGCTTGCCTGTCCGGAATGAACAATAACAGCCTGTCCGCTCGGACCGAAACCTTATGACACTGTCCGAGTGTAATGAATATTCATTCACTGGGAGCGCGGGCTAGCTCGTCGCAAACAAACACTCACAGCCCTGTACGCTTGAACCGAAACTTTATGACAACTCCTCAGATATTTGAACACTTCACTCAAATGCACGACACTCTACGTCACTGTCTCTTGTGCTGACGTTATGACAATTTACGTTGTCCAACGCTGTAACTCCCGGCGTTGGTGGTTCCTTTGTTCCTCATGGTAGTTGAAAATTCCCTTCGACCTCAAGCACTTGTTTTGACTATAAACGCCTTAGTTAAGGACATTCAGATTATGGGCAAGTCGAAAGGAATGATTGAAATCCGTCTTTTGATGCATTCAATATTTATTGATGTGGTCAAAACCTGCAGAGGAGAAGGTGTTCATAATATTACATGGTGATCCATCTGATACATAATTAGTCTCACACAATTTTATCTTAATTACTATTTATTAAACATACTGACATAACACAAAGTTCATAACCTATTAATCTTAGCTTCGCTTCATTCTGTATTGTCTTATTACTCCAGGTTAGGCAGAAACGAGTAGGCGTAATTAGTCAACAATATTTCAGTACCGAGGGGTATGTCATCACTTAGGCTGTACTTACAAGTGCAGGTCAATGCAGATCAGTATGGTGTTCCAAGAGACAACAGTATTGCGTAAATCGTCCCAGCACAAATTCTCGGACAGGAGAAGGCTGGTCTTCACAGCATCATTAGAGAGGGCCATCTGTCTCATGGAGGGGCGGGCAGCACCGCCACGAGTCGAAGACAGTCCACTCAGCAGAACCAGGACTTGTCTGTAAACACTTCTACATCTGGCGAGGTCACAGGTCGAAAGATTTAATGGCATCACACGCCAGCACTGTAGCTGAAGCCAGCGGCGATAACAGGGCTTTTCTGGAAAAAGATGCCCAAAAGGACATTCATCACCAGAGATGAAACCTCTTTACCTGGGCATAAACCCATGAAAGACCGTCTCACTCTATTGCTTGGTGCCAATGCTTCAGGGGATTTCCGACTGAAGCCTATGTTTGTCTACCATTCTGAGAACCCCAGGGTGTTCAAGCAACAAAAAGTGGTAAGAGGACGGCTTGGAGTTTATTGGAAGTCCAACCGTAAGGCATGGGTGACAAGACAGCTCTTTAATGAATGGGCTGTTGAGGTGTTTTGCCCTTCTGTGAAGAGCTACCTAACCACCAATAAATTCCCTTTAAAGGCTCTTCCCCTTATGGATAATGCCCCTGGTCATGACCCTCAACTTGTCGGCACTTTCGAGGCTCGATTTGACTTTGTCAAAGTGTTGTTTTTGCCTCCCAACACTACATCAGTTATGCAGCCAATGGACCAGAATGTGATCAGCAACTTCAAGAAGCTGTACATAAAGAAAATGTTCAGGAGGTGTTATCAGGCAACTTCCATTGATCCAGAACTAACACTGGCACAGTTCTAGAACACACAATTCAACATCTTGGAGGCTGTAAAATTGATTGTGTTATCATGACAAGAAGTCTCCATTAGATCCCTCAATTCTGCATGGAAAGCACTGTGGCCATCAGTAGTCCATGATTTTGAGGGATTTGAGGAAGAAGCGGAGCTGGACAAAGAGATTGCATCCATTGGTCAGTCAATGGGCCTCAAAGTGGAGGAGGATGATGTGGAAGAGCTTGTGATATCTCATGAGCAGGAACTTACTCCTTGCAACAACTGGATGACATGTTAGAAGCTGACAGTGGTGAAGAGGAAAGGGAAAGTGATGACCATATGTCTTCTTCAGACTTAAAAGATGTTGTTCATTACTGGGAGATGTTCAGGAAACTGTCTTCAAGGCACCCTAATGTGGAAACAACAGAACTTGCTGTGGAAGATAATTTTCTTCCTCCACCAGTTCCTTAAACTTCACTACATATTTTGCTGCTCCTTCAATTCTGCACTGACAGCCTCACCATGCCTAATAAAACTAAAAATGTCACTTTCTTTTCTTAAATTTTTTGATCCAGCCCTTGCTGGCCCTAAACTCTTCAAACTCTGTGCCAGAAGAACTAGGTTGCTCTTCCTTCAAATGTTCGTATATTTCCCTGGCTCTTTCAAAAATAAATTCATTCAAAATTGAATCTCCTTTCATTTGCTTTTCCTTAATCCAAATGAGAAGTAACCTCTCTGTTTCTGCAATTAAGGATCTACCTTTAAACACTCTGGTAGAGTGTTTATTGCAAATTATATATACGGTATCACTCTACGAATGTGGCTGTGTATTTCTTGTGTTTACCCGAAACCGTCAACTCGTCCATTCCAGGGATGGGGGAGTTTTTTCTGGGTTTGAGAGATGAAAATCAGGCACATTTTACAGAAATTCTGAGAACATTTTTGAACTACCCAAAATATTCCAGGGATGAGGGATATTTTTCCGTGTTGTAGAGTGGAATGGGCAATTTCTGGAACTTCCAAAAACATTTTTCCGTTACCCGGAAAATTCTGAGGAGGAGGGATTTTTCCAGCTTTGAGAGAGTCGTCTCATTACCAGGAAATCACTCATTCCCAGAAGTGCTCTGCACCAATTGTTCCAGCTAACAGAGATGTCACTTATCATTTACTTATGTTCTACAGTATATATTCATCCATCTATTACCGGGAACTCCGTATTGTTAGGAAAAATTTAAATATATGTATATCTATGATTCTTACTTTATTCAGACAAAAGACATGATACTAGATATATTGTACTGTGGGGAGCTTCACTATACCCGCACAATTAAAGAGAAATTACATTCATCAAGTTTTCCGCCTTGTTAATGCGACTACTGCAACTGTAGTTGTCGCCTTATGTGGGATCCCCAATCACACCCTCAGCACATACCAACCCAAACTGATCTTTGGACATTTTCTTGTAGCTGTAAAAAGTATGTTCTGACTGTCCAATCAGTCTTTTTTTTTTCAAAATCTCTAAGGCCCTTTTTTTCTGAGTGGTCAGACACATCTATGAGTGTGGTCAGTTACTTCTATGGGCAGAGGTATCTCCATGGCACTGGCAGTAGGCATCTGGTCCTTCTTGAGAGAATGAAAATTTAGTAGCTATTCCCAGCTGACGGTTTTACATAACACAAGCTCAAATTTCCTGTCTTACCTTCTACAGTAGTTGTAACAGTTGGCTATCATGGACGTGCAGGCAGCCAGTGAAGGCTATCGTGGGCGTCCCTTTTATTACACAAACATCAGTACAGCCAACCAACTTCCCATCCATCTAACCAACCAACTAACCACTCAACCGTCCATCCAAAATATATATATATATATATATATATATATATATATATATATATATATATATATATATATATATATATATATGCAAATTTTTATGTAGTATTTTCACCCACAAAATTCATACCTCACCTCACCATTGTGTCATTAGTTGATGCTCATTAATCATCAGATGTTTATTATTGAACCCATAGATAAATTTTTGTACACCATTTAACTAAGTTCCACCATTCATTGTCATTAAGGCTACCATAGGTCTGCTAATTGTTCACATTTTTTTTATTTACTGTACTTGTATATAAAGTAGGCATATGTATTTGCCTCCAGCATATATGTTTTTCTACATATACTCAATAAATCAATGCCTTAAATATTATGTACTCTAAAAGCCTTAATACAAAATATGTTCCATTGTTTGTTTACAGACGAAGTTCAGTAGTCGGTGTAGAGGTTGGTCAGATTCTGTAGCTGCTACAGAACCTTGTTGTCTCAAGCTCCGTCTGGACACACACGTTGAACCAACTTCCCCTGGTGCTGAAGACCTTCGGGGCATCTCTGGGGCCCCTCTCCCAGTGCTGATAAGACCTTTCCTCAGAGGCCATGTGGCTGATCTTAATCTGTCATTTCTGATGAGCACTGTAACGGGCCTGATTGACCTTATAGAGGATGAGATCGTGCCGCAGCCACTTCCTATGGAGGTATTTACACACTGTATCTTCAGACTTTATACTAACATGTATCTCCTTTGTTTTTGTAGTTACCAAGCCATCATAAAAAAATCTTTATTCGATGTTTGAATATTTAGAAGTTGACAAATATCTCTAAACCATAGAGGGATGAGTGGGTGAAAGTGTCTGTTAGATCTGTTAAGGAAAGAGTGAAGAGATGAGAAAATATTGGGGAACTGGAAAAAAAGAATGATACTGCCTTTACTGTACTCTGTACCACAATGTTGATATCAAGAATTATGGCAACTACTGCACGGGAATTAGTTGATTGAGCAAACTACAAAAGGTTTAGGAGCGGATAGTGAACCAGAAGTTAAGGAAGACAATTAATATCTAGGAAATGCTGTATAATTATTCAAGAAAAGGAAGGGATTAGTAGGTGGTACCCTCATCATGTTACAACTCTAAGAAAGGGTTTTAGAAAGAAGTAGGAAGGGGTATAGTGTGTTGGTAGACAGAAGAAGGTATGTGACTGAATCCTAAGGAAAGTGGTTTAATAGTGCCTGAAGAAGAAAAGGGTACTAGAAAATTAGTCAGGATGGTGAAGAGGATGTTAGAAGGTACTAAAACATTACCAAAGACAGCATATAAAGAGGCACAACAGTGTGGTGTACTGTACTGTACTGAGAACATTGGGGAATGGTGGTTGTGGGTGCTCTTATTCGTGGCTGATCTTGTCTTAATGGCAGAAAAGGAAGAGCTGTACCAGAAAACTCTTGAGAGCAAATGCAGGAAAGACAGAGGTTATAATAATAATAATAATAATAATAATAACTGGTCTTTAGTTTCTTAAAAGTGCCAGTTCTTCTAAAGAATTAGCTAGCACTCAAAGCACTACAAAGTCAAGGATTTGTGAATAAAAAGAAATACCCCCCCCAAAAAAATAACAAAAAGTGACAGTTTGACTTCCATCATACTTATATACTACTTTACCCTTAGATTGTAATAGTTCCTAAACCCTGTAATTCTCCATCACTGTACCTGTTCAGGATTAGAAGCTTTAAACAAAACAAAGGTCTTAAGTTGTTTCTTAACCCTTACCTCACTGTAATGATTGTTTATCAGGTCTTAGCTTACAGCCCAGAGAAAGACAACACATGGTAACCCTCGTAACTTGACACACCCTACACTCATTACAGTAATTAAGACCTGACCCAGAGTTCTCACCCCCACGCGATCATGACCGTGTTAAAGAAACTCACCTGACCAAGACACACCCGGGTGGTAATAATTAGGAAGCTTTACCGACCGGTGACATGACCATACACCTGAGCAAACACAGCTGTCCAGATCTAACCAGTTTAGTGTTAATTAGGAGAGGTCATCTGCCAGCTCTTCTCCAATATAAGGAGCCTGTAGCTCCTTCCACGAGGTATTATTATCAGAACAGGGAAGGGGCCTTCAGCTCCTTCCACGCGGAGATCACTATTATTACAGGGAAGGGGCCGACAGCTCCTTCCCAGAGTCAGACAGGGAGAGACAGAACTCAGAAGAAGACAGGAGCCACGCTTATCATTAGTCCAGGTCAGGAGGGAGATTTCCCTTCCCAGCTAGCAGTCTCCCACAGGAGACAGAGTCCAGCAGCAATTGCTGACAGCTTCCCCAGCTGCTGGGCCTCCCTCAGGTCTCACGTGAGTCATTGTCAGCGATCCCTAGGGTGAGTTACTTACGGTGGGAAGTGTATCCATTTCATGTTTGTGTCCGAGAGTCATTGTCAAGTAATGTCAATATATTAATGTGTCCATGCCATTGAGTGAATAATAAGTAGCTGTCCTTAGAATTGGTATTTAGAAGATTCCCCTACGAATATAATATACAGTTAAATAACTAATCGGCCACACTACCAAACCTTCCACACTTTGCAATTCTTCAAATAAATAAACTCTTATTAGTACTGTAACGTCAATATATATTTATTAGCTTACCCCTCATTACATCACCATAAGATATTATGATTAAATGAAATGCCAGTGCTGGCTCAAGAAAAAAAATCTTGCAGAAATTAACTCAGAATTCTCAAAAATCTGTGAACAGTATAATATAAAATTTTTACTCTCTGAAACCGAGACTGGATGTAGCTACATGGACAGTCGAAACTTGGGGATTCTCGTTTTATAGCAACATATTTTTCAATATACAGGTACACTTTATTTAATGCAATAAAATAACTACTAAAATATATGCCTTGGGAGTAATTACTGTAGTTACTTTACAGTGTGAAGATAATTTGTTTGAGAGTGAAAGACAAAGGAAATGAGAAACTCATGAATTAATTACATTTCTGATTAAATTTGCATCATCCAATATAAACCTCATCACCATTAGAAGTATTTTGCTTATTCTGAAGTATAATGAACCTATGCCAACCCACTTACTGTACAGTCTTTGGGAATAATGCACTGCTGATAGAGAGTTTTAATTACCAGTCATGTAGACTGTGTGGAATGATTTGACTGTAACAGAAATGTCTATGGCATCATCCAGATAGTTTTCTGTCTGTATGTGGACATAATGTTGTTAAATTGTGCACAGTACTGTAGAGGGTTAAAACGTAATATTGTATTCTGCAGGTACTGGTGGAGCGTATACGGCTACAATTGACAGAAGACAGAGTACCGGCTAACATCACATCTCCCGGCTCGGTCCCCACCCAAGTGTGGCTCCCAAAGCTTATAGTAAAGCGAGACACTGATGGTGTCTTTACTTTGCTTCCTCAAAGAGAGGGTGAGACATAAAATCTGCCTTGTACACCTTAATCTTTTTTAAATAAAAATCTCATCTTCTCTTAACAAATGTCATAAAAGAATGAAAGGAAAATCAAAGCTAACAGACACAGCAGAGAGTGAGGTTAATTTTTAACCCAAGAATTGTGCACAAATGAGATCAAAGAGTAGGCCTCTCCAGAATAATGTTACAGGTAACCATGTTTGCTTTATAGTAGAATTTGACCTCAAGTGTATTTGCAGGAAATAGTGAAGCAGAGTCCATAAAAGAGGAACGTGACAAACTAGCAGAAGAGCTAAAGCAGTTGCGGCAGCAGTTGGCTCAGGTGGAGGAGGAAAACTGCTCTCTACAAGCAGAAATGGCAAAGTTACAGGAAAGTCAGTCCTCTCAAGGGTTCTCATTACCAAAGTTTCCTCTTCCGTAACAAAGTCGAGTGCTTCCAGTCATGTTGTGAGTGGCAGTGAGGGGTTGAGCCTCTCCTTACACATGAAGGCATCAATAGCCATATACCACAGATGAGTAACAGTTTGTGATAAAACAACCTCATAAAATGGCCAGTTTTCTTACTTAAGAATGGGCATTTATAATATGTAGAATTATCAGCATTTGTAGGATATTTTTATTTATCCTGTTTTGTGGGGTGGGGGAAGGAGGTACATGGAAGTGCAATATTATTTTCAGTACACAAAGAAAGCCACAGATAGTGAAGTGACCCTTACGCGTGCAGGAGGTAGTTTCAGTATTAATTATATTAGTACAAACAAATACTTAACTACCAATGATCATGGCAGAGATAATTTTCTGCTCATTCTTTTATTATTATATGGTGCTTTATAGAGTAAAAGGACACATGTAGTTACTCTGTAGTTCATGGATTTTGAAGGATAAATATGAACACATAGCTTATATGAGGTTTGCACACACACACACACACACACACACACACACACACACACACACACACACACACACACACACACTTTTATGTACTCACACCAGTGCAACTGCAGTACAATTTACCAATAATCATATTTACCTCCGCTGCCATATTTCCTATACGTGTCGTGGGTGTGATCAGAAACACAGTGTGGTGTGTAGATCAGCAATTCATATGTTGCTTCATCCACCAGTCATTAAATATAAGTAAAAGTCATTTTGTTTTGGGAGCCAAGTTATATTCACTTCTGTACTTGTTCAAATTATTATGCTGTACTGCATTTTCACCTCCAAAAGTATTTAAGATTACTTTATAGTATAAGAAGTAAAATCAGTTAACTCTCATATTGGAAGAAGCCATAGTGGCATCCAACAGGTAAATATATACCCTGTATGTAGAAAATTAATTCATTGGTGCATCTGGTCCAAATTTGGTTGCCAACAGTTGCCCATATTTTCTTCACAGGTCAATAGATCATAGTTGTCACATGTTTCAAGGTTATGGGTGCACACACCTCTAATTCCACCCTAGATGTGAGTGTGGGTGGAATGCTTTCCTCTCCCTGAACATTCAAACCAACCACTTAAGACCTGCTGACCCTTGTATATGGATAATAGTTAATTCTCACAATATTGTACAGTGTATGTGCTGAAGTGGTTGATGATGTAAAGAGTGTTGAGGTGTGTCATAAAGGCTCATGTTTGTGGCTTTTGACCATTACTCAGGTGAACATGAAAGTTTACAACCTTACTAACTGACTACTTTGGCTCTGCTGACCCTTATCCATGGTTAATAGGGCATTCTCCAAAAGAAAATGGATGCCAATAATAGGTGAATACAGTAATTTATTAATTTATTTTAATTTTCGTGCATTACCAAATGTGTGTGTATATATATACACCTAAACCCCGACTTACGACGGGGTTAGGGACCCAAATCCAGGTCGTAAGTCTACAATGAAATACAGTACAGTAAAAGTAATGAATAATGATGAATGGATACAGTACAGTGAAAGTAATAAATAATAAGGAATGGATACAGTGTGACTGAGCACTTAACCTTTAATGTAGTCAGCTGAATGCACATGGGGCCCCCATAATTTTCTAATTATACATGGAGACTACATTAACTGGAAACGTTTCGGTATAGAAAATGCGTGTGTCATTTAAAAAAAATTTATTTTTTTATTCTTTTTTTTATCTATATCTGAGGCGGTCGAGTCCCGACGGTCGTAAGTCCACGTAGTCGTAAGTCGGGGTCTAGGTGTATATATATATATATATATATATATATATATATATATATATATATATATATATATATATATATATATATATATATATATATATATATATATATATATATATATATATATATATATATACAGTATTTACTTTTTTTTCTATAATATATATTATGCTCAGACCAAAAATGTGTACAGTGTAAACATTTCTACTTTCCATTTCTACTTTTTTTTATTCTATTACACCATACTTTTTTACATCTTATTTCTGATTACACCACCACTTTATTTCTAATCATTTCCTCTTTTGGCATGTTTATTCCATAAAAACACTAATATTTATCCACACCATGAACAGAAAAATAAATTTAGTTATAGATATCAATATTACTTCTCTCTCTCTCTCCATGTTATTCTTTGCACCTTATTTGCATTCGAAGTCATTCCACTTACATCATTTTGAATTTATTTAGCTGTGAAAAGTGGGCTACAAAAAACATTGTTGAATGCACTTTCAAGGGCAAATATTCTATCACAAACCTGAGGGTTGAGTCTAGTAGCACTGATGGGGTCGATTCTGAGAGTGTTAAGTTCCTGGTAATTATTGTATTAATACAAGATGATTTATAATTTTATTCACATATTGTTAATAACACATTGTGTATGAATCTTGGTTCTACATCGTAATATTGATCCCGGCTGTCCTCCTTCATACTGTATTTAAAATAATTAAACTAAAATGCTGTTATCAAAAGTATTTTATTCATGTTTATGAAAGAAGAAAAATTTTGTTACTAAATGGAATTTTCTGTAATTCAGCTGGCTCACTCTAATTCCTGTTACTCCTTCAATCAAAATGCAAAGCATTACCTGTGTGAATTTCAACTTTATAAGCTGTACCTTAATATTTTGTTGTTGACATTGTATTGTGTGAAGATTTATGGGAAGTATTCAAAATAATTTATTGAATTGTGAAGATTTATGGGAAGTATTCAAAATAATTTACTGAAGTGTTTAAGAAGTTGCATAACTGCTAAGAGATGTCCGGAATGTGGGGAAACATGGGACACGGCAGAGCATGGTGCAATCTCTCGGAACTCTTGGAAATTTTTTCCGAAGCCTAGAACGGAAAGGTTTGAAGAGATTTTCTCATAATTTTTCCCAAAAATGTGTCTGATTTTCATCCCCGGAATTTCGTTCGCAGACTCGGAATGGAGAAAGTTTTACAGGAATTTTTCTGGCCCGATTTCCATTGCAGCAATTGAAGAGTTTCGGGGACTGGGGATTCCGGCTAACAGGGAGATTACTACATAAAATTAACAGTCAGGTTATGGCATTACAAGACGATCATGTCTAAACTCGATGTGAATTATGATACATAAACCCAAGCACCTCACAACTGGCTTACTTTAACACTACTGTACTGCCACACCTGAATGACTTTAATATGTTATTATGGACTACAGTACAGTATATACTTTTTAGTCTCTGTATTTCTTGTGTTAACTTACAAGTTAGGTATTTGGAGCATAAGTTTCAAATTGAACTTCCTTGTCCCTTTCAGAAAACTAGTTATGATACTGAAATTAATATAATTCTTTTTAGAATTCCTCTAGAACTACAATGTACAGTAACTCACCATTAGCAAATTATATTACCTTTTGATAATTACACGATGCAATTTAGACTCGCCAGAAAAAATATATCTTTTAAACTTTAAGATTACTGTACTTTACAATACAGTATACACTGTAAATCATAAATTATATTTATCTTTTGTTGCAATAGTAAAGTTGTGGCTGATATTATTTCTAAATATGAAGGTTGTATCCCAGCAATTGTATTTTGTTTGTTATTATAATGTGTGGTGTATGATGGTGACTCAACCGCCAAAGAGTTAGTCAACACTTAGTGTTGTTATGGTCACCAGCCAGTTGTTATATTTTTGATGGGTAAGTTAACTAGTTCTCTTGAGCTGCTCCTTGGCACTGAGTGACACATCTATTTCTGTGGTTGTTGTGCTGGCAACACCTTTAACACTCTTGCGCACCATAACTTGATATCTGGCACTGACGCCATTCTCACGTTACTCGAAAGAAAAAATTGCGAAAAATTTATTAATTATGACTGACGTGTGAGATTTTGGCGAGTCACTCCTCGAACCATTCTCTCCCATCGTAATTCCACCACTAATTAGATACAGTACAGGGTATTTGACAAATCCGACTAGTGCAAGGCTTTAAGCACTTCGTAGTGTCCCAGCAGTCAAGCCAGAATGTGTTGTGCACTTTTCCTTTAAATCTTCTCCTGTTGTCCCTCTCACACACTCCTGCCCTCCAGGTGGTATTTTTTTTTCCAATTAACAGCCTTGTTGTCAATATTTTTATTTTACTAATATAAAGTGGCAAATTGTCCTCTCTTTTTTTAACACTTATTATTCTTACTTGGTTGTTTGTTGGCTAAAATACAAGTTGATTGTATTGAAAATTTTAATGCATTATACTTCACATCTTCAATTTTTTTTTTTCTGGTTTCATGTGAATATAGTTGGTTTTGTACAGAAAAACAAAACAAAACTGGTTGCCGAAAAATCTTTCCAAAGAAAAAAAGGTACAGCATGGCTCTTCCGTGCAAGGTCACAACTAGACCTGTGTGTGGGAGGGGTAGTTGCTATAAACAATGTGGTGCACGAGAGTGTTAACAGAGTTGCTCCTTGTCGGGGACAACAATTATTTACCTTTACAGTTGTTGCTGAAGTCATCTTGTGTTACAGTTCTGACTTTTAATTACACTGCAGATTATAGGAATACACTTTGTTAACAAGAAGTCTGTCCATATTTTTATGGACTTTAGATATAATTAGAGCTATATATATAGTTCGAGTAGTACCATAATTTGTATTTAGCACAGAATTGTGTGGCTTTTTTTTAAATAATATGTTAATTCATTGGTCTTATAAAGATTGTGGAGAGCTAAAATTTGTCTGCTGTATATTATGAGACAAGAGAGTTATTTATCACGTACTTTAATATCATACAGCAGTTTCTTTTTATTATCAAATGTATTCCATTCTAAACTCAATGTGAGATGGTGACCTCCTTGTTAAATTATCCTGAGCCTCGGTTTGATATAACACCAACTAATTACCGAACTTGCCGCATACAGTACTTGAAGATAGTACTAACTTTAGAGTTTGCCAAGGACATAGTGCCAATTTTTAGTTTGCCAAGTACATGATCTTGACTTGAAACTGTACCATTAGTACTAACTTAGAGCTTACCAAGGATGTAGTACCAACTTAAGGAAGCACTGTACTCTACCAACCAGAAAGCATCTTACGTAAAAGAACAACTTGCCTGAAAAAAGCACAAAAAGGACCATCATTGCAGGATCCAGTATATATACTAGAGTTGCCTTAGTCTTAGATGTTGCAGATATGCTGGGGTTATCTGTTTATGAGTAAAACATTTAATTAAGTTGTACAGTTGCTAGAAATTTTAGTTCAGTCTGGAACTACAGTAAAGTTCCTCTAATCAGGACTAATTGAGGAGAAGGTCTGTCCCGTTTGTCCCAAATTCCAGGTCGGGCGAGGGTTTGCATTGTCTATTTTACAAGGTGGAGTAGAACACCGAACCTAATGTGATCTTTAGCCTAGAATTAACACCCTAGTGATTTTTATACATCATATGAACGTTCTTTAGCCCCTTAAAGTTTTAACATGTGTGGAAAAAATTATTTATTCCTTGGTCCCTCATATGCTCTCGGCAGCTTAGTGCTGTCTTTCAGTACAGCTGTACTCGGCAAGTCACCTACCATGTGGTGGGTGAATTTTTTTACAAGTACATGTTTAAGTTAATATGACAGTAGTTATTAGGCCAAGAGTCACCATATATATGTTTTCTGTATACAAGTTCTAAAAATGTTAGATATCAACTTTGAATCC